TACCAAATTGGTTGATTTTTGAAAAAACTACAATTGATTCTAAAGATGCATTATGAATATTTGATAAGGTTTCGAATGAAAAATCTTCATATGTGTTACGGTAATATTCTACTAATAAATCTAATAATTTTAACGATAAATTTGCTTCTTTCATTGGTTTAAATAATGCCTCTAGAAAGGCTTCGGAGCCTGCTTCAGCCTTTTCTTTCACATCCTTTGACATCGATAAAAATTCGAAATATTCTTCAAGTCAAAATCGTTATCATGAACAGTAAGACTGCCAACCGTTTCTCTAAAAGTGATATATGACAAGCATTTCGAAAGGTGTTGATTATCATTTGCATATATCAATAGCTCATCAAGAAAAGCATAACATTGAACAATTTTAAGTAATTCTGGTTCTATATGCTGATTACTACTATGTAAAGAGCCTGTAAAAAAATCCCAGTTAGATAACGGAAAATATTATAATAATATCAGATCATATTATATTACCCAATAGGCCATTCATTCGTTCAAAACTATAACAACAAAATGCATATAATAGACCATAGTCAAATGCGCATTCACATATATGCAAACATAAATGCATATTTGGTGTTATCTTTTCTGATCCGTAACTCCTTTCAATTAGCTTTACTATAGATAAAAGACATTGATGCGCCTCTTCTAACCCAGATTTTGAAATAATACGACATACAAGAATATTGCATGCTCGTACAAAATAACTTAATACTTTTCTATTATCATCTTTAAGTATATCTCAAGTAATAGAAGTAGCATACACGAGGATGAAGATTTTCCATTAATCAGCCGTAAAGTCAGAAAAACCTTCACCTGTTGATATTTTACTTGGAATTCTGCCAATGTCTGATGGCAATTTTATCCTATTGGCTCATTCCTGCATAATTGTTAAATGTTTCAGCATTAAGCGTCCTTCCTTGATCCACAACTGGGTAATGATCCATTTAGCAATACCTAAAAATAGGCAATGCATAGGATCCAGAATAAGGAATTGAACAGAGTCAAAGTATGGTAGTCGGTATATTTCTGACCACCGTATCAGAGTCTCAGATACGTGCCTTCTTCATGCATCTTCAGTGTTACATTCTTTCCATAATCTTGCATTATTTCTTATTTCTTCGATGTTTCTCGACACAAACCATTGTTCCATATCATTAAAGCTGCTAAAGTTCAGCTGGTTTCTGATAGTAAAATCTGCTACTTTTTGGCATCTATGGCAAGCTGCACGCGCAGATATATAGCCACAAAGTTTCTTGCAGCAGGTATATCACATGCGTAGCATATTACTGCAGCTCGAATATGTTTACCATTGGAACTTTCGTAGGTTGTTGATAACTCGATCCCATTCCATAATTCAATTAATTGATCAATTACTGGAGCCAAATAATGATTCAATTTGTGTAATTTTAGCTCATTGGGTCTGGGAATTACTGCCAAAGTAATTACATTAGAATTTTTAAACCTTTCGCTTCATAGAAGATTGCATATAACTGCGTATATTACTCCTACACTATATTGGGAATTGTCAAAAGGTTGGAACCAATCAAGGTTTAGCATAATTCCCAAATGACTATCGGATACTTCCCGTCGGAAAAATAGTAGATCTGTATTTGGGTCTTTGAAAGTTTTTCAAATTCTTCCGTCAAATATATCTGCTAATTCTTGATCGTTACTAGGATGAATTATCCATTTTTGGCATGATTCTTCGAATCTAATGATGAGGGACAAAACCCCTTAATAACAGTCGAAACTTAGACGAAACTATATTAAAATCATATAAGGAATACGACGAAACCCTTTTGATACGACAAAAGCCAAAACTGTCAAAACTATATTAAAAACATAGAAAAGGGTATGACGAAATTATTTTGAAGAGGTTTCGGCAGGCATCTATATTCGAATCCTTTAGTATTATATAATTGTTGTAATCTTCGTTTAATATTAGCAACTAGAAAAATGAGTGACGGTCGATACATTACTCTTTGATTCATGGGAACTTGTTTTGTAATAATAGCATTATCGGGAGATTGCAAATTAGTCATCGGGTGATTCGAAAAGTCTTGGAATGTACAGTGATACAGTCTATCAGTAGGCAAATCTTTTATTGCGTATAATTTGCAACATTTTTTACAAGTTGCATATTTAATTAACTGATCGCTGATACTGAATGCTTTACGTGCCATATATAAAGATTTCAGGAATTTTGAATATGTATTTCCATTGATCAAGACCAATATATATTTAATAAATTTTATAAGAGAATTGACAGTTGTATCAGGTAGCCGATATCTCTCTTAAAATTTGAAAATCCAGTATATAATCCATGTAAAACCAGAATTGATATCTGATATTGCTGATTTGACACCTTCATTTTTATCATCATACTCCGGAGTATCAAAATCGATATGTTGTTCTGAATTGTTTTCTCCCAATTCGTCCAATTCGTCATCATTGTCTTCGCTAATATCAGATTCGTCAATATTTTGGTTTTCGTCACTATTTAAGATCTGCTCAATCAAAACAAGTGGATAACTAATATTTCTATTACCACTATGACTGCTTAATTGTTTTTGCTTTTTAGATTTATTCGGCATCATAACAAGAAAATTCCCAATAAAAAATTTGATATAAAAATTCCATAAAAATATTAAGTTTTATAACGTATAACTTTTATGGAAAATCA